ATCAGTCTGAAAACAAGATCAAAAAGACTTTTTGGCTGATATAAGGGTTTAAAACTTGGTTAGGTGGACAGTTTTTGCAGTGAAGTGAGTTTAGACGGAATGAGTCTGAAAAACCCAGCCCCCCAAAGGAAAAAACCTGTAGTTCAGAATATTGGTGTTGAATTGTTCATTCTGTGCAGCTCCAGGTTGACCTTCAGCAGATCAGATTAGTCGGAGTGAAAGCGGGGAGAGGTGGGAGCCTCAAGTTGACATAAACACCAGAAGAAATTAGATCCACCGCCTTCAAGGTCAACTTGGGTGGGGGGGACAAATCTGTAATCAGTTGTTTGGGAACAGAAGAAATGTTTTCAGTCAGGGAGACAATAACAATTTTCCATCTGCCTTAATGTCCGCTGGTGCATCTCAAGGTGGCGAACCCAATCAGACAAATAATGTGGACAATTCCTACGAGCCGAGATATCAGCTTCTCCAAGATCAATTCCATCTGGCCAGCAAAGTCCAGGAACCACAGCCGGCCCGCGACCCTCAGCAGAACCGCTTGCAGACCAAGCCCAGCTCACTCAAGGCAAAAGTCTGAATGGTGACAGAACGGCAATCCTTCATATTGATCAGGCAGCCAGGAAATGGCCTGAATACCCACAGATGCTGTTTTGTAGAACACCAGGAGACCACCAAGCCAATCTGTAGAATCCAGTGATCAGAATCCAAATAAACTGTATATCCAGCTAGTTGAACAGAACAAAACAGAGGTACCATCTTTGACATGTCCTCCCATGGAAAAAAAATGTTCCAAAAACTTATTAAAGGGCCAATATTATCTGTTTCTTAGGCATATATTTAAATACTATGCCATAATAAAGTATCTATGTCACCTTTAGTTGTTATTAAAATGCTGTTTTTATGTTTAAATAGAAAATAAACTTACCTTCTCAGCACTTCCTCTTCTAAAGATCTTGAAATTGGCCTCTGTCTCTTTAAGAACCACCTTCCGCTTCTGTCTGGGGGAGTGGCGCTGCTATGATGCGGTTTACTTGGCATCTGAAAATACATTTCCTCAAAGGTATTTTTAATCTGAAAAGAGCTTCACTGAGTGAGAACTAATGTTGAGAGCTCAGCAGACAGTTTAAGTTTCACTTTCACCCAAGAGCCTGCAAGAGTCATGAGCGGGGGGTGGGGGCTGCCATGAGGAAGTTCGGCTTAAAGACACATCCTAGCGGCATTTGTGGTACCAAAAGGTGTTTCTGGTCCTGGTATGTATGTATGTATGTATGTATGTATGTATGTATGTATGTAT